ATAGCGGTCAGTTGTCTTTGAAGAAATAATCAAACTAATCTAATCAGATTAAATTAGAAAAGAAAACGAAGTTCCTATATACATGTATATAAAAGTTATATAAAACGAAATGTTGTGTGCGGAATAGAGGAGTAGCGGAACTGAGGAATAGCGACCGACCGACCGGAATACATTTTGACATGCTCCCTAATCTATACCTTTTTTCATATAGGATAATTTCTAAAGTCAAAACATGGCGACTACAGATGCAACTTCTAATGTTGATTCCAACCCGGATGTTGTCTATAATCCAAAATTACATAAAGCACCATTTTCAGTTACTGCTTTGTGTATTGCAACAGTACTGGGAACATACTTTTTATTTCTGTCTTTAATTGAATTAAGTCTGTCTAGTTATTGTCAACAACACAAACAACCAGAATTATATTCCCAATATTTAAATTTTAAGAAAGATGCTCCTGTATGGAAATATTGGCAAATGTTCACATTATGTATTTTACCTATTAGTGTATTTGTAATAACACGTGATGCTTTACAATGTTTAACAAGAAAAGCAAATGGTAGAAGACATTTATTAGATCTTATTAATTGTGTTCAATTGTATACACTATTATATACTATAGTTCTGAAAGTATCACCATTAGAAACAGAATTAACTAATGCTAAAATCCCTTCATTTGAAACAGTGGAACAATTAACACTGTTATATTCGATAGTATTAGTATTCAATATTATTGGATGGCTATTACCATTTTTCAGATATTCTAACTGGAAATCGGATCCAATATTTCATCCATCTATTATTAAAATTAAAAAAGTACAATAGACTTGTTGCAGATTTTTGGTTTCCAAAAAGCATCATAACTTAAAATACGTTCAATGTATAACTTATAGTAAAATGTATCTGTTGAGCTCTAATAACATGCACCAATAGATCTTGGATAAGATGGTAGAGACCGAATAGGATTTTGTCACAAGAAGTTTCGGGCTTTATTAGAGTCACGTGGGATAAAACCGCGATTTTCATATTATCCGTCCCAGAATATAAGGCAGGTAGTTGTTTTTTGAATAATTCAAATATGCTGAAAGACAGAGACTTGTAGTTTTCCGCAATCGACAGCGAACACTTTAAAGCATCCTTCTATAAGCAAAACGTTTTTGAAATCATTTTTCAAAAACCGTTTTTC